ACTATTTTTCATTTCTTTTTATTATTTACTATTTTTTTTAAACTTTATTATTATTATATAAATATTATCAATTGTCATATTATTAATATTATTATAAAAATAAGCTTTTTTAATGTTATAATTTTTTTAACTTTTTTTATTATTATAAATTTTTTGGAGTATTATTATTTTGGATATATTTTAGTTATTATTGTTATACTTGTTTTTATTATTATTTATATTATTTATTATTTTTATTTTTTATAACTTTTTTTTATTATTATATAAATATTTTTTAACATAATATTGTTTTGTATCTATTATTATTTTTACTATTATTATAGAAAAAATTTTTCTAACTATTATTTTTTATCTTTTATTATTTATTATTATTTTAAATATTATTTTACATATATTATTAGTTATTTTACTTTTTTTATTTTTATTATAGAAATAAACTTTTGTACTATTTTTTAAAATTTTTTTATTTATTATTTTCTTTTACAACTATTATTATTATAGAAATCAACTTTTAACTATTATTATTTTGTATTATTATTTATTAATTTTTGTTATGTTAGAAGTTATTATTTTTTACTTTCATTATTATTATAAAAAAACTTTTAACAACCCTATTATTATTTGGTATATTATTTTAACTTTTGTTTTTATATAAATGTTTTTAGAATATTATTGTATTGTATGTTTTATTATTTATTATTATTATAAAAAGATCAATAGTAAAATATTATTTGTTATTTTTTTCTTTTATTAATATTTTAGACAAAAGCATATCTAGTATATTTTATTACTTTTATTCTTATTATTAATAATTTATAGAAAAAGAAACTTTTACTGAGAATAGTCAACCTCCATGCGATGAAGATTACATTAATCCTGAGGAAGTTTAATAACTTTTTTTTACTTTTTATTAATATTATTTTATTATATTAAATACAAATTTTGATATTATTAAACTTTTTTTATTTATTATTTTTCATTAATAAACTTTTTATTATAATTCTTTTATATATATTTTTTTATATTTATTATTAATTATAAAAATATTATGACTATTATTTATTGATTTATATCTTTTTCATAATTTTTACTAATAAACTTTTTATTTAACTTTTTTTTAATATTTTTATATTTTTTTATTAATTTTATAACTTTCTAATTTTTATCAATAAACTTTTATTTAAACATTTTTGTTTTTATTACTTTTATTATTTCTTATAAAAATATTACATTTGTTGTTATTAATCGTTATCTTTTTTTTTAATTTTACTAATAAACTTTTAGTTAACATTTATGATTTTTATTTATTATAAAAATTTTATAGTTATTGTTTATTAATTTTTATTAATAGACTTTTTATTTCACTTTTTTATATATTTCATTTTTTTTAATAATCATAACAATATTTGATTATTTAATAATTTTTATTAAATTTTATTTTTACTTATAAACTTTTGATATTTACTCTATACCTTTTATTATTGTTAGAAACAAAAAAATAGTTATATTGGTTTTTTTTTATTTTTATTTAAAAAAAATAAATATTATAATATATTTTATTTAAAGTTATTAATTATAAAAATATTTTTATTTAATATTATATTTTTGTTGTAACTTTTTATATATTTTTATGATAATTTTTAACATTTTGAAAATTGTACATGTTAGATTTTCTTTTTTATTTTTTTTAGTAATAAACTTTATTATATTTATAATTATTAAAAATAATTATTAATATAATTTTTATTTTATTTTATTTTAGTAATTATAACTTTTTTATATATTATAATTATTAAAAAAATATATTCTATTATTTATAAATTACTATATAAATAATTTTATTTTACTTTATTTTCAATAATAAACTTTTTATATTTCTTATAATAATAAATTTTAGTATATTTTAGTATTTACAAATAATTATTATTAAAATATTATTTTTTTAATATTTTTATTAACAAAATATTATTACTACTTTTTTTTTTTTATATTTAATTATTATTAATTCATAAATATTAATTATAAATTTTTGTTGTTAATTTTTTTTGTTATAAACATTTTGTTATTTTTTAGTATAAATATTTATTACAAAATTTTTTTATTATATTTTTTACTATATATTTTATGTTTTATGTAATTTTTGTTCTTATAAATATTAATAATAAATAAATAAATATTTACCGTTTATTATTTTGATTATAAATATTCATAATAAAAAACTTTATTATTATTTATACTACTTTTTTATATAAAAATATTTATATAAATTTTGAAATATTATAGTTAATTAACTTTTTTTTTGATATTTATTTTTTTATTATTTTTTTATAAACTTTTTTTTATATTTCTTTTTTAATATTTTTATTAGTATAAATATTAATATCTAAAACTTTTTATATAATAATTTTATTAGTACTTATCAATTATTTTAGTATGATACTTTTTTATTTATTTATTTTATTATAAATATTAATATATAAAACTTTTTTATTAATAATATTTTTACTATTTTTTAATATATTATTTTAGTATAAGAAACTTTTTTTTTATTATTAGTTACTTTTTTATATATATATTTTTATATTCTAAATATTAATATATAAAACTTTTTAAAATTTTATTTTTATTAACTTTTTGATAGATTGTTTTTATTATAAAAACTTTTATTATATTTAATGTTTATTAAGTATTTTTTTATTATTAATACTATATCTATAACTTTCCATGAATAATTATTATCATTTACTATATATACTATATTTATTATAAATAATTATTAATATAAAACTTTTCATTAATAATATCTTTATTATTTTTGTTCTTTTATAATATTCTATTAAAAAAACTTTTTATAAATATTTTTTTATTTTTATTATTATTGACTTTTTATATATTTTCTTATAAATACGTTAATTATTATTTACTTGTATTATAAATATCTTTTCTATTATATAATATCAACGTATAAAACTGTAGATGGAACATTTTTATTTAAAAATTTATCATTTACTTTTTTTTTTAATATATTTATTAATAGTCTTTTCTTATCAATATTTATCTTTTTATATATTTTTTATTATTATAACATATAAAACTTTTTATATAAACTTATTATTTACTTTTTTATAATATATTTTTTGGTATAAAAAATTTTTAATCTTTAATATAATTATTAATAATATATTTATTACTTCATTTGTATATTTCTGGTATATTTATTAACAATAAATTAATAACTTTTTTATGTATTTTTTATTTTTATTTACCTTTTATATATTTAAAATACTTTATTCGAAACTTTTTATGATTTTAATATTTATAATTTACTTAATATATTTCTTTACTTTACTTTAAAATTCGATTTGAAACTTTATGTATATATATATATAAATATATAACTTTTATTAATAATCTTTTATTATTATTTTATTTTTTACTATATTTACTTTTTTCTTAGACTTTTTATTATTTCTTATAAAGTTTTTATGGAATAAATATAATATTTATATTTTTCATTATAAATATTGAAAAGGTAGTAAACCATAAAGTTTACGTGAATCAAAGTGGAAAAGTAGTTTACGGATTGGACGCTGAAGTCGCCGTGAAAAACGAGCTCAAAAGAGATCCATTAGAGGAAAAAGTGATTCTTGATTGGATAAAGGTATTAGTTATGCCTTCTGCTTGGTTCTCGGAAAAGTCTATCTTAAAATTTATTAGAATGTTATTGGCGAAGATGAATACTTCAAATATATTAATGAAAAGTTTTCTGGTTTTCATTATTATTATTTTTAATATAATAAATTTTTTTTAAGTATTATTATTATTATTATTATAATTATATCCATTTTTTAAAATATTTTAATAAGAAATCTTTTTATTCATATTTTATTTACTTTAAAACTTTAAATCTATTAATATTTATATTATAAAACTTTTTAAAAAGATTTTGTATATAATAATAAGAAATTTTTATTCATTACTGTTATAATTTTTTTTTATTAATATTAAATAATAACTTTTAAAATTTTCATTTATAATTTTTAATAGACTAATTTTAATTATAGTTGAGCATATTTATAAATAATAATAATTATAAGTGAGACTAAGAAATAGTTTAAATAATAATAATAAATTATTTATGCTACTATTAGAAAATATTAATAGTTGATAGTAATAAACATATGCCTCTTTTATTAACAATTATTTCTTTACTTTTTATTATATTCTTTAATAATTTTTTTAAAAAATAAAAATATAAACTCTCATTAATTTATTGCAATAATTATTATAAAAAATTCTTATTTTATAACAAAAATAAACTTTTTATCATTATTTTAAATTTACTATAAAAAAAAATTTTTAATAAATTTTCAATATTAAAAGGACTCAACAGCGAAAGAAACTTCACTACAATTATTGAAGACGGTTTCGTAGTTCCCAGCAATATTTGATTTTGCACAATTTTTACTTATTTATTATGTTAGGAATTTTATTTATCAAACTTATAAATAAAAGTATTCCTAAACACAACCATCAAAATAGACACCAAGAAAAGTTATTATTATTAATTATTATTATTATTACTATTAATATAATTATTTTTAGAGATGGTAAAGCTTCGGCATCCTCCAGACGTAAAAGTTTATTATCAAATCGTATATACGATGAGTATTATATTATTATTAATTATTATTATTATTTTTATTATTATTCTTTGTTTAAACCTTGTTGGCTATCAAATTCAATATTTTTACTCTTTATAATATATTTTTTATTGGCCTAAACAATTATTAATATTTTCATTGGCTTTTCATTAATTATTTTTTATAAGCATTTTGTATATTTTTATTGGTCTATACAACTTTTCAACTTTTCATTGGCCCCTGTATGTCTCTAATATATTTTTATTAGTTATTTATATTTTATTATTTATTAATACAAAAACTCTTTATATATATAGAAACGCTCTTATTCCGAATTACAGTAAACTTAGAAATGTCCTTGCTTATAATGAAAACATTTCTCTTTATTTTAAAGCTATTCAAGAATATCTAAGTATTTATACTTTTTCGTATAATATAACAATAATACTAGTAAATGTAATAATAATAATGATATAAACTTTTCTAAGATATACAAAACAGTTCACTTTTTCCGCTGGACGCTATTCAAAAGGGAAATATTCAGCCTGTCATACAAAATATATACGACGTTGCAGGTTTACTACTGCTAATAAATTATAATAATATAAATAAAATATAACATTAATAATCATCAACATCATCATAATAAATAATAATAGTAATTAATTATTTAATTTCCAATAACAAAATAACTCATTGGTTTGCACTTTTGAAAATATGCAACTCGTTTATTATTGGAGGAACTTATTTAGTGGATAATAACTTTTTTTTTATAATACTAGACTACTTCCAACTTTTTATTATTATTATTTTTCCTTTTTAACTTTTTTTTTTATATAAATATTTTATATGAAACTCCCTTTTTTTGTTTTTTTATTATAAACTTTATAAAAGTTCGTTTATATTATTTAATTATATTTATTATCTTTTTTTTATTTCTTTATAAAACTTTTATTTAAGAATTATATAACTTTTTGTACATTATGCTACTTTAAATTTTTATTACTCAATTCCTTAATATTTTTTATAATTAATAAAATTTGAAATACTAAACTTTTTATTGTATATTTTATTATTATAAACCATCAACTTTTATTTTTTTTATATTTATATTTTATTATATTTTATTTTTTTTATAATACTTTTAAATAAAAATTGTAAAACTTTTTTTAAATTAAATTACTTTAAAATTTTTATTATTTAATAAAATTTAATAAAAATAAATTCATATTTATTTTATTATAAATTATTAAAGTTTTTATTTATTAATTATTTTTTATTATTTTTTTATTTTATAATTCTTTTTTTATAGAAAAACTATAAAACGTATAAAACTTTATATGTAAATAATATCGCTTACATTTTTTTTTTACAAATTATATCCATTTTTGATGCATTTTAATTTTATTGGCATTCTACCACTTAATTAGATGCGCTTAGAAAGCGAAGTGACTATACCGGTCCTTTATTGGTTACTGTAAGTTATTATTATTATTTTAAAAGATATATGTATGATAATTTTTTTATTTTACTTTGATAGTTTAACGCTTAAGTATTTCATTATATTAATATAATATTTATTATCAGAATCAAATTTTTTTATTAATTTTTAATAATAATAATGCTTTAAATATTTTTTTATTTTTATATAATATACGTTATTATAGATTTATTGCTTAATATATTATAAAAAAATTTATTTATTGTTACTTACTAAAAAATTTTCAATTTTTGTATTTTTTGTATATTCCGTGTTTTTTTAAAAAAAAATTAAATATACAATTATTATAAAACTTTTTTACGCTGCTTTCGTATAATATGTATATATGTTTTAATAGTTTCTTTAATATTTATTATATATAAAAAAATATATATTTTTTATAGTTAAACAACTTTTTTGATATTTCTTTTTTATTATTAATTTTTATTTAGTTGAATTTTAAGTTTATTTTTATATTTAAATAATTATGAAAATCTATTTATAGAGTTTTCTAATATATATTTTCTGATAATAATAATAGATCAAAAGAGGAGGAAAGTTCTGCACAGAAACAGATTCTTTTATTCCGGAAGAGGAAAGTTCCTTTCAAATAAGAAGAGAAAAAAGGTTACAGGAAGTACGCAAATAACTATTATTATTATTTTATTTACTATCGTTATTATTATCTTTACTACTATTATTAACGAAGAAATTCTTTATAAGAAAATAAATACGGATACCAATAAAAATATAAATTATATAATGGAAATCAAAAGTAAAGGAAATATATTTATAAAATAGTAAAATAGTTTGTTAAGAAATAAATTTATAAGAAAAATATATTATTATTTATTATTATTACTACAAGTTTTATTACTTTTTATTATTCCTTTTATTACTATTTCATTTTAATAAATTCGATATAATATTTTAAACTTTTTATGTATATTATGATTTATTATTATTTTTATTTTTAAAATTATTTTGTTTATAGTATATTTGTATTTACATATTTAATTATAATATGCTATACTATTTATATGTTTATAAATATTATATTAATATTATTACAAATTGTTAGATTTATTATTATTTACTTATATATATTTATTAATTACTACTTATAATTAATTATTACTGTTAATCTTAATAATATTAATATAAAGATGATGAAAGAGCGAGAAGAGCTACTACAAAAGAAAAGTTCCGCCCATAGTTTTTTAGTTTCATGTATTTTAAAAACTTTCCGGTTTCTTTGTATGTTTATAAACTTTTTACTATTATTATTATTATTAACTTATTATCATTTATAATAGTTAATAATATTATCAAGCCGTTCTTTAGCGCTATAAAAGTTTTTTTCGGTCGTTAATTTTTTAAATAAATTTTATTATTATTATTATTATTATTACTAATTCGCTTTGATTATTATACCGACATTTACTAAAAAAACATTTTTAAAAATATAAAAACTTTTGCTTCGAACCCTTCTGCTTTGGCTACGTTTGCTTTATACTACAAAATTTGTGATAATAATAATAATATTAATAATAATAACTATAATTAATAAATTCCCTTAACAATCCATAAGGTTTAGCCAATAAAATAGGCTTAACCAATCAACGTAAAGTCCTTTTTGCTGTCGTCAGCTACACACCAACGTCGCTTCCACTTAAGACGGCGAATCAATTATAATAAATAAATAAAATTTCTTTCTTGTGTTACGTCAATTTTGTAACTGGAGAGGCCGCTTGGCTAAATTATTTAATTTTGTTATGCACTAGTGAACAAAGCGGTAGTATCGTCCTTGCTAAAAATTTAGCGTCCATTATCCTTAAAAACCTATCTACTAAAAAGTTTTAAAAACTTTTTCTGTTTATAAACTACAAAAAAAGTGTTTTTTATAATTTAGCTGAAGCTGGTTTGAATTTTTAATTCTTTTGCTTATATAAAATATTTAAGAAAGGAAAGTAGTTTTATATTTAGAAAATGTTGAAGAATCGGCAGTTAGCTTATAAATGAGTAAATCTGAGTGGAAAATGAGACTAGCGGGACAAATATGCGCCTACTTATTAAATATTTTCGAAGTTTTTTTGTTTATGTAAAGGAAATATTGTTTATAAATCGACTTTAGCTCAAATTAATATTTAAAAATTTGAATTCACTACCCTTAAACACTGGACTTTTTGAAAAATAAATACAAATATGTGAATGCCTTTTTGTTATAAAAAAGAAACATATTGCTAGCTTATTTAGTAAAATAATGGTAAGTATTTTTACAGAAGGAAGTCTAAACTTGAAAAGTTTTAATTTTTTGATTTAGAGAATTATGGGGGGTGAGCGAAATGTAACAAACCTATAAAAAAAGTCATTCAAACTAGCAGATTTCATACTCGGCTTTAAAAATATTTGGCTAACGAACTTGTGGGGTATTAATTTATCTTAGAAAGATGCTTTGAAAACCAATTAATCTTAAATACTTAAAAAACAGGAAAGTACCACATACAAAATCTTATATAGATGATAAATCGAAAGTCGCTAATACAAAATTGTAGAAAAGCAAAGCATATATTTATTTATTTAGGGGGAAAAAAAAAGATTTTAGGTTAGTGGTATTTATGGGTTAAATATTTCCGATTTTTTAAAATAATTTTTTGTAAAATTTAGTTAATAATTGTTTGTCCCTGTAAAGATAGAATTTATTCGAATGCTTACAATAAATCGTAAAAAGCGCCTAAGGTTAGTTCTAAGTTTCTTGCGCTACATTACATGGTTTATAGATGGTCAAGTAGGTCTTTGTGGGAATTAAGTTTTTTTTAAAAAAATTATACTTTAGAAATTCATTTAAAATAATAAAACTATTATTCCTAATCTCACAGTGTGGCAATCTACTCTTTTTCTTCCTTCTTCCTTTACTTTAAAGATAAAGTTTATAATTTATCTTAAGGACTTCGTAAATTACCTTAAAATATTTTCTAAAACTTATTGGAATTTCCGCTTGGTAGGGTGTGATAAGAACTTATATATTATATCTTAACGTACTTAAGTTGTTATTTTTTTAATTAAAAAGTGTACAACTTGGGTTTTGAGCTTTTTTTTTTAAAGATTCGTATGCCTAGAACACACTTTAATTCTCAGTATTGTTAAAGCTCTGTAACCATACTATAACGAAAAAAAACTTTAGCAAAGAACTTTTATAATTGATATCGATTTAAAGGATGTAGTTTTTATAAACTGGCCAAATTGTATAGTATTTACTTTCAAAGCTAACAAAGAAGCAATTCCTCCCAAGACTGGGGAATTTAGGGTTTTTATCTTTTTTAGATAAAAGCGTTCTCCGAATCTTATCCAATGGATTTTCTAAATTTAACACAGATTTGTCTTTATATTCTTAGTCTTACTTATAACTATTATAGTTGTTTATATTCTTGTATAACTGGCAGTTTCTAGCCCTAAATTTTATATAAGCACTTGCTAAAATCAAAAATTTTGGTTCATGACTTCCTTTAATTATATTAAAAAACTTTCATCATAAATCTTTGTATTATAAACTAAGGTAAGCTATATTACGCAAGAAGTAACAGAAAATTATAAAATAAATATAATATAGAAATATATAGTCCAAAAATACGTAAAATTATGATATTAATTAAATAAACTAACCTAAAGCATAATAAATTCGTAGGTCTCTGATAGAATACCCGTCGTAAGGTACGAACAAGATAAAGAGAGTTAAAGGAATCTAAAATATTCACAATTCCTTTTATTTAAGCACTTCTTATTAACGACTACTAAACATTAAGAGAACTTAAAGAGAAATTATGTTTAGCCTTTAAATATCTGTTCTTATCGAGTATTCCATTACTATGGAACAATATACTAAAGCGGGTAAAAGTAAGATACTGCGCTTTAATAATTAAATAAGTAATTGTTAAAAAAAAATGATAAATAGCATATTATCTTGTATTTTAGCTGGTTTTCTTCATACTAAGCAAAAAGTGCGCCATATACACTTTTAACCGTCAAAATCTTTTCGTTTTTTTATATACACTATTATGCAAAATTGTTTCAAGGTTTTGCATTTTTTCATTTAAGATCGAACAACTTTTCAGTAACGTGATGGATTACTTTAAAAATTTATACAGTAAATCCTTCGTTCCAGTTACATTTTGTTAATACCTGATCTTACCTTGATTTGATATTGAAAAGATATGAGCTTGTAGGCTGGAAGATTGCAGAGAAAATTTTGCACGTAGAAAAAATTTAATTTAGTAAACGAGTTTTTAATAAATAGTACGGATCCCTTTTGCCGGAATCACTGCTTGCATCCTCTTTGGTATACTGGCCATCTGACTGTAGCATTGATCCGGTGTTATATTTTTCCATTCGGATGTACACACGTGCCCAAAGCTCAACCAAGTTACAGGAGCTGATTTGTATGATCCCAATTTTCTCAAGATTCTCCATGCATGCTCAATGGGATTGGGACCAGGAGATTGCGGAGGTCAAACTAGCACTTGAAATGGCTCTAAATGGAGCCATGGGCGCACAGATAGTGCAGTGTGACAAGAGGCATTATACCGCTGAATAACCAGTCCATCAAGACCAAGAACACGCCAATCGCGTGATCTGGGTGGGTCGTTCTTAATAATGTCTAAATACGCGCTTGCAGTAATGCTCCCTGCCACCTTTTCAAAAATCCGACCCCCTTAGATGTTATACAGGATCGAATCATAATCGATTTCCCCCTTGTTTATACGTTCCCACCCTCTGGTGCTCAAGTATTTGATATCGCTGGATCGTTGACAACACCAACTAAATCATGTGAACCATATTGGTGGATCTTAGTCTCATCCGAAAAAAATTACTTTTTTGCAGTCAGAAATGGACCAATGTTTTTACTTCTTCGCAAACTCACATCTTAGTCGCTTGTGACGGTCTGTCAAAGTGGGTTTGATTAACTTTTTTTTTTCGCATGGAGATTAGCAGAATGCAATGCTCTCGATACGGTTCCATCTTGAAACTGGTCTAAATGTTGTTTCTATAATTTTTGAAGCTTTCTGTGTAGATTCCATTGCACCCGATGTCATTTGTCGTACAAGTCAAGCTAAATCTCGGTTTTCAAGATCTTCGGACGCCCAGGTTCATTGCGAGGACGATTTGGATCGTACTGAGGGTTTGATCCGGGATATTGTGGCCTTACTGACACTACATTCACGAGCGATCTCAGTATAAGGCTTGCCTTGATTTAAAAGGCATTTTACTTCATTTTCTTTATAGACTGAAAGTTTACGCAATATTATATTAAGGTCTCTAAATATAAGCTATTCTTTATAGTCACCCAAACGCTTTTAAAAAACCCTCCTATGATGGGTGAACTATAAAAATTTCATAGGAAGATGAAACAAGTTCGCACGAAGGGGGTTACGTGCAAAATCGTTTCAATCAATACTTAAACTTTACTTAAACTTTACTTAAACTTCAAAGCGAAATGACTTAAGTAAGAAAGCAATTCCTCTGATACAAACTACATTAAATAGCTCTCGATCTAAACTTATACATATATAAGGGATCGATATAACTAATTATTTATTAAAGCGTTATAGAATTTTTTTTTTTTACTAAAAATTTAAAACATAAAAACAGTTTTGGACGAGATTTTTCTATGAGCTGTTGCTCTCCAATTAACATTTCATTTCGCCTTTTTAGTGCCAGCCGGATTGGCCAAAAAAAATGTTTTGTTGGGTGCTTTAAGTCATAAGAATTGCTTACACGGTTAGTAACATTTCTGGTCTTTGAAGAAATTTATTGCTTTTCCTTATCTACATTATAAGAAATTCCGATGAATTTCTTAAATATTAAGCTGTTTCACTTCATTTACTTAACTTTTCTGCAACCACAAGGACTACAATGTTGTATTATAGTTATCATGAATTTTCAATAAAGAACTACAAAGTTGTATTATAAATATCACGAATTTGCAATAAAAATAAAAGAGTCGATAACAGTTTGAGAGCCCTTTCTATTCTACTTGCTTTTAGTACATAATTTATATGTATATATATTGTGTTTATTTTTTAGTGCCACCCTTTGGCGCAAAAAAAAATCAGTTTTTTTCAACTGTTTTTGTGACTCATAGTACAAGTCTCTAGTTTATAGGACTTTGCATTAAAAATCTTTAGTTGAACTCCTTTTTTTTTTAATTTTAATTTCTTTAATTTTTTTTAAATATCAAGTTTTTATCACCAAATATTCTGGATTTATTTTCTTAGTAATAGTTTTTTTATATAGTATAAGAAGTTAAAGCTATTACTAAAAAACTTTTTAATCCTCTTAAAAGAACTATAAACAATTTTGTAACTATT